TTCATAATGTATTTGGAATTAGGAAAATTTCTGAATTTCAAAATTTATAATATGGCCTGCGAACCTAGAATTTTTTATTTCATAATGTATTTGGAATTAGGAAAATTTCTGAATTTCAAAATTTATAATATGGCCTGCGAACCTAGAATTTTTTATTTCATAATGTATTTGGAATTAGGAAAATTTCTGAATTTCAAAATTTATAATAGGGCCTGCGAACCTAGAATTTTTTATTTCATAATGTATTTGGAATTAGGAAAATTTCTGAATTTCAAAATTTATAATAGGGCCTGCGAACCTAGAATTTTTTACATCTCTGATGTATTTGGAATTAGGAAAATTTCTGAATTTCAAAATTTATAATAGGGCCTGCGAACCTAGAATTTTTTATTTCATAATGTATTTGGAATTAGTAAAATTTCTGAATTTCAAAATTTATAATAGGGCCTGCGAACCTAGAATTTTTTATTTCATAATGTATTTGGAATTAGGAAAATTTCTGAATTTCGCCTGCGAACCTAGAATTTTTTACATCTCTGATGTATTTGGAATTAGGAAAATTTCTGAATTTCAAATTTATAATAGGGCCTGCGAACCTAGAATTTTTTATTTCATAATGTATTTGGAATTAGGAAAATTTCTGAATTTCAAAATTTATAATAGGGCCTGCGAACCTAGAATTTTTTACATCTCTGATGTATTTGGAATTAGGAAAATTTCTGAATTTCAAAATTTATAATAGGGCCTGCGAACCTAGAATTTTTTATTTCATAATGTATTTGGAATTAGTAAAATTTCTGAATTTCAAAATTTATAATAGGGCCTGCGAACCTAGAATTTTTTATTTCATAATGTATTTGGAATTAGGAAAATTTCTGAATTTCGCCTGCGAACCTAGAATTTTTTACATCTCTGATGTATTTGGAATTAGGAAAATTTCTGAATTTCAAATTTATAATAGGGCCTGCGAACCTAGAATTTTTTATTTCATAATGTATTTGGAATTAGGAAAATTTCTGAATTTCAAAATTTATAATAGGGCCTGCGAACCTAGAATTTTTTATTTCATAATGTATTTGGAATTAGGAAAATTTCTGAATTTCAAAATTTATAATAGGGCCTGCGAACCTAGAATTTTTTATTTCATAATGTATTTGGAATTAGGAAAATTTCTGAATTTCAAAATTTATAATAGGGCCTGCGAACCTAGAATTTTTTATTTCATAATGTATTTGGAATTAGGAAAATTTCTGAATTTCAAAATTTATAATAGGGCCTGCGAACCTAGAATTTTTTATTTCATAATGTATTTGGAATTAGGAAAATTTCTGAATTTCAAAATTTATAATATGGCCTGCGAACCTAGAATTTTTTATTTCATAATGTATTTGGAATTAGTAAAATTTCTGAATTTCAAAATTTATAATAGGGCCTGCGAACCTAGAATTTTTTATTTCATAATGTATTTGGAATTAGGAAAATTTCTGAATTTCGCCTGCGAACCTAGAATTTTTTACATCTCTGATGTATTTGGAATTAGGAAAATTTCTGAATTTCAAAATTTATAATAGGGCCTGCGAACCTAGAATTTTTTATTTCATAATGTATTTGGAATTAGTAAAATTTCTGAATTTCAAAATTTATAATAGGGCCTGCGAACCTAGAATTTTTTATTTCATAATGTATTTGGAATTAGGAAAATTTCTGAATTTCGCCTGCGAACCTAGAATTTTTTATTTCATAATGTATTTGGAATTAGGAAAATTTCTGAATTTCGCCTGCGAACCTAGAATTTTTTACATCTCTGATGTATTTGGAATTAGGAAAATTTCTGAATTTCAAATTTATAATAGGGCCTGCGAACCTAGAATTTTTTATTTCATAATGTATTTGGAATTAGGAAAATTTCTGAATTTCAAAATTTATAATAGGGCCTGCGAACCTAGAATTTTTAAATCTCTGATGTATTTGGAATTAGGAAAATTTCTGAATTTCAAAATTTATAATAGGGCCTGCGAACCTAGAATTTTTTATTTCATAATGTATTTGGAATTAGTAAAATTTCTGAATTTCAAAATTTATAATAGGGCCTGCGAACCTAGAATTTTTTATTTCATAATGTATTTGGAATTAGGAAAATTTCTGAATTTCGCCTGCGAACCTAGAATTTTTTACATCTCTGATGTATTTGGAATTAGGAAAATTTCTGAATTTCAAATTTATAATAGGGCCTGCGAACCTAGAATTTTTTATTTCATAATGTATTTGGAATTAGGAAAATTTCTGAATTTCAAAATTTATAATAGGGCCTGCGAACCTAGAATTTTTTATTTCATAATGTATTTGGAATTAGGAAAATTTCTGAATTTCAAAATTTATAATAGGGCCTGCGAACCTAGAATTTTTTATTTCATAATGTATTTGGAATTAGGAAAATTTCTGAATTTCAAAATTTATAATAGGGCCTGCGAACCTAGAATTTTTTATTTCATAATGTATTTGGAATTAGGAAAATTTCTGAATTTCAAAATTTATAATAGGGCCTGCGAACCTAGAATTTTTTATTTCATAATGTATTTGGAATTAGGAAAATTTCTGAATTTCAAAATTTATAATATGGCCTGCGAACCTAGAATTTTTTATTTCATAATGTATTTGGAATTAGGAAAATTTCTGAATTTCAAAATTTATAATAGGGGTTTGCGAACCTAGAATTTTTTACATCTCTGATGTATTTGGAATTAGGAAAATTTCTGAATTTCGCCTGCGAACCTAGAATTTTTTACATCTCTGATGTATTTGGAATTAGGAAAATTTCTGAATTTCAAAATTTATAATAGGGCCTGCGAACCTAGAATTTTTTATTTCATAATGTATTTGGAATTAGTAAAATTTCTGAATTTCAAAATTTATAATAGGGCCTGCGAACCTAGAATTTTTTATTTCATAATGTATTTGGAATTAGGAAAATTTCTGAATTTCGCCTGCGAACCTAGAATTTTTTACATCTCTGATGTATTTGGAATTAGGAAAATTTCTGAATTTCAAAATTTATAATAGGGCCTGTGGAGTATTCTTGATAAACACACTCCCGACAAACACTCTTATCTTTAATTTAAATATTCTCCCAATATATATTTGTCTATGCCATTCTCGATTGGTTTCCCGACATAAACTCTTATCTTAAAGTAATTTCCCAACCAACATATATTTGTATACTCTTTAATATAGTAAATAAATCCCGACTATTGTACCTCTTTTATTCACATGCACAACCCTATTTAAAGAAAACCAAATGCACCTCAATTAACACTTTTGACTTTAACTTTACCTATACCTAACCAATACCAATTTTATAAACTTAATTGAATAAAATATATTTGGACTATTAGAATTATTTGAAATCCTCAGTAAAAGAGAACCGGTAATAGTGAACTAAATAAACATAGTTCATTTTGGTGCCACTCCGGGTACTTTTTCTGAGAGAATTTAAAACTTCGAAGTTTAAAGAGGATCTTTTTTGAAGTGTTGAGCTAGAAAAGCTCCACTTATTGAAATTTTATATTTTTAAAGCGAATAATTACTAGGTGTTTATTCGTGGCTAGGTGCCATTGGACTCAAAGGATATTACTAGGTGTTATCCTTGCTCGAAAATTGACTTAATAAAAATGAGTAAAACCGAACAAACTGGTTCAGATTTTGCTCCAAAATTCTTTACCGCAGAGGAAGGAAAAAATTGGAATAGTTTACTTATCCGCCTCCGTTCTTTTGAAGAGGTAGTTTGCAAAACAATACGCCGTATTGAAGGAACAATTACGAATATACAAACGGAAAAACCCGATTTTCCTCAAATAAACTTTGTTCTTGAAGGAAAATTCGAGACGTTAAATGATAAAATTAAAATTGTAGAAAATTTTATTAAGGATGCGACACTTGATTTAGGAGTTGAAATTGACCTAAATAAATTAAAAATAGACGAAATTGAAGAAAAATTAATAGATAAAGGAGAAAATTGTTATGTACATGCTCTTTTCCAAGGCAAATGCACTGAACTGGAAAAAGAACAAATTTTACATTGTCAGCGTCTAAATATCATTGAGGAAGGACTAGAACTCGCTGAACAAGATAATTTTGATTTAGGAGCTAAATTTCGAGAATTATCAGACAAATTGGAAAGTCTAGAATTTAAAGTTGAAGTTTTGGAAAATGAGTCTGAAGGATCTGGATTTATATGGAATGGCCATGGGGGTGAGAAATCTAATGAAAATAAATCCAATATCGATGGGAATAAAGAAAGAAACCCCCAAGAAAATGAAAATATTGAGGGAGACGAAAATTGTGAAATAATGATGGGAGACCCATTCTTAAATGGATTAAGCTCACCTATAGGAATATATGACGGAAACCCCTGTAATTCTTTTGCACGCTGGTCGCAGCGTTTCAACGACGCAATAAATCTTTTATTAACCCCTCTATCGGAAGCTCAAAAACTAAACCGCCTGAAAGTATGTTTAGGAGGACGCGCACGAGCTGAATTAGACTCACAAAACCCACAACCGGAGACACTACAAGACGCGTTAAATTTTTTACAAGAGAGATTTGTAAATGGACATTCGCGTACGGTAGCTCGACAAGCACTTTCTATAGTTAAACAAGCGCCAGGCGAAAGAGTTTTCGCTTTTGCACAACGCTTAAATGATGCGGTACGTGCAGTAATGATAGGATATGAGGAAAATATGATCCAACAGCGTTTATTGGATGAATTTTTGGATCGCCTTGTCCCTGAATTACAATTTGAAGTCAAGGCTTCAAGACCTGAAGATTATACCAGAGCATTTGAAACAGCAGAGCATTTTGAACTATTACTAACAGAAAGACGTCCACACTTACAAAATAATCAATTTGTTGATTTAGCGGAGAAGGTTGAAGCTCTAGTGATACAAAATGAAAATGATAAACTAAGGAAAATTTGCTATCATTGCCGAAAGCCTGGTCACATAATGGCTAATTGTAGAAATCGGAGTTACCAACAACCAAATCAACCGCAATTTAATAATTATAATTCAAATCATACCCGCAGAAATAACCAAAACTATAACAATCGCGGAGATTATAACCAAAATTTTTACAAAAACGGAAATTATCAAAATAACTATAGGAACCAAAATAATAACAGAAATGGAAACTGGAATAATCGAAATTCCCAAAATAATCAAAACAAATACAATGAAAGAGGAAATTTCAGAAATAGACAAAGCCACTCTCCAAAAAGAAGAGTGAGATTTAGTGAAAACAGGGTAGCAAGTCCTATTACATCTAGCCCAAGGATGTTAAGCCCGTACTTTTTGGCAATATTAGCGCTACTTGCTCTTGTTTGCCCAAGTATAGCCAGCCATGGACCGCATAGCCCAATGATTTGTCTTGCAGAATCCCCGAGTAGCTTGTGGAAACTTCCGGAGGAACCTATCTGCCCGCATTGGAGAACCACAGAACCGCCTATAGAAATGCCATTATCGGTTTATCGTGCAAACACTTTAGAATACAAAACGGCCACAACTGTCTGTCGATGTGTTAAAACAATTATAAATCGTAGAATGGGACTTTTTGGTTCTAAATATGAAAAAATTGATACGGAAAACATAGAAATCCCAACATCGACCTGTCATAGGATGCATAAACTTTATCACTCGCCAGCAGGTGAAATGTTTGGAAATAACACATTTAAGGCTACGAATAATTCCCTGGACAGTGAATGGCGACCTTGGCCTATTAGCATAATTTGGTATACAGAAGAAGTCACAAACTGCTATGCTTTTGACTCAGTTATTTTTACACGCTATGGAATGAGCGGTATATCAACGCCTCTAGGTAGTTGCCCTGGTTGTCTTTATAAGGCTGGATCCTGTCGGTGTACACAAGGAAGCCTTATTTGGGAACCAGAGAAATCCCAACAATGCTCTTTTATATTCGTAACTCGATGGGAAGGCGAATATTCAACTAAAATTTGGATTACAAAAAGCAGTGAATTTGCTCTAAGTTTTGAAAATGCCACAATAAAAACTGATTGTGAGGGAACACAATTTACTGTTTCTGATCAAGGTTTTGCTGTACCCGTAAATGAATATAATGAAATGATTATGAAGAGTGAAAGAGCGCAGAACGAAATAAAAAGAAGTAAAAGAGAAATAGGAATTGTTTACTCCCAACAATTAGCCGCGCAATTAACAGCGCTTAGTGCTAAAATTACGTTTAATACTCAACGCCTTTTTGCAGAAGCCACACACCAAATATGCACGAGTTTACAGTCTATAGTGGACCAAACCTTAAGTTTGGCAATTGCTAACCCCACATTACTAGCAAGACATTTTATGAAAAATAAATTAATAACTGCTAGACTGGTAACTGATAGGACTTTAGAAATTAAACCTTGTTACCCCATTAACTTTAAAGACATACATTATAATTGGAAAACTGGTCACTGTTTTAACAAAATACCAATCAGTTTTAAGCTCTTTGAGGTCCAAAAACATGGATTTTTGGACACAAATACTTTGATTATTTACCCAGAGGCCAAAGAGATTGATTGTAATTCTGCTAAATCGCAATTCATTGAAATAGGTGGAAAAATAATTCAATATAATCAAGTTAATGGAGATGAAAATGAAATCCCAATAGAGTCGATCTTTACATTAGCACGATTTGGGAACTTGGATTTTCCGGATATTGGAGTAACAATCTTCAGAAATAAAATACTCGCAAATTTATCCGAATTATATTCCCCTGAGCATTTTAACGAAACGCTAGAAGCTGCAGAAATAAGCCAAGAAATTATGCGATTAACTCGCCCTAGCAGTAGCACTTGGAGGGAATCAACAGGAAAAACCGAGTTATTAGCCGGAAATATTGTATCTAGTGGTCTTTTCTCGTTTTTGAAAGGAGGATTACCTTCGTTTAATCAAATTTGGGTATTTTTTGTTTGCTGCTATGTAACTATTTCTATAGCTGTACAATTAATAATTCCTCCAGCTATACTTCAATACTTAAATCTTTTATTTAATGTTAGTAATTCCTATATCCGCGCAACAAAATTATTACAAAAATATAAAAATAAAAGGCGTGAGATTCGAGAAATTGAATTGGCAGAAAAAACTGAAAGGACCCCTCCATTAAACGAACGATGGCCCAGTATAGAAATTCAACACATTGAAATAATAGAAGTAGCATCATTTCATGAAACTCAATGTGACGAAAACTTCAGAATAAATACCTTAATAAATGAAAGAGAAATTGCATGCCTAATTGACACTGGCGCACACGTTTCCTTAATGGGAAGAAAGACAGCTCAAAAATTAAAAATAAAAGGAATCCATCCTCCCGAAATAAATGCAATAGTAGGTATCGGAGAAAAAATTGTTCCAACTATTGGTCAGGGAGAAGTTTTTTTGAAAATAGCAGGTTGTGAAATAAAAACCTCATTTGTAATAATTGAAAATGAAATAAGTACCACTGGTAAATATGACGTAATAATAGGCAGAAGCACTTTAAAAAACCTCCCGCTTTTATTAAATTTACAAAATGGTAACCTAAAAAGGATTCAAAATGACACAAATTGTTATATACTAGAATTTAATAAATTAGAAATAAATACAAATCTGAATGCCTTGGAAAGTGGAAAATTGAAAACTAGTATAAACAAATATGCAAATGTTTTTTCCAAGCATGATTATGATTTGGGTGAATGTACAATTACTGCTCCCCCAATCTTAACACATACAGAAATCCCAATTACCAGCCGACCTTATAGAGTACCAGAAAAATACCAGGCTGAGTTAGATGAACATTTGGAGTCTATGCTTAAAATTGGAGTAATAAAGAAATCTAACACTCCTTGGGTGTCACCCGTAGTTCTAGTAAGAAAAGCTGATAATAAATTACGGCCATGTGTGGATTTTAGGGCTCTGAATAAAATCACAGTAACGGATCCATACCCTCTCCCAAAAATGGAGACAATTTTGCACAAAATTTCTGGCCATAAATATTATACTACACTGGATCTCCGATCCGGTTTTTGGCAAATACCATTGGATCCAGGAAGCACTTATAAATGTGGAATTATAACAGAAAAAGGCATTTTTGAAATGTTGAAATTACCATTCGGTCTAAAAAATAGTCCTGCCATTTTTCAAAGGACCATGGACGAAATACTTACAAATGTCCCTAATTGTATGGCATATATAGATGATATAATAATTTTTAATGAGGAGCTGGACGAACATTTAAAAACCTTGGAAATTATTTTTTCGCGTTTAAATAAATATAATTTAAAATTAAATTTGAAAAAATGTGAGTTCTGTAAAAACTCAATAAATTATCTGGGACACATACTAAATGAAAATGGTTATAAGCCAGCAACAGCAAACATTGAAGCAATAAAAAATTTTCCAGAACCTAAAACATGCAAAGAAATTATGCAATTTTTAGGTCTCGTTGGTTTCTTCCGAAAATTTATAAGAAACTTTGCTGAGAAGGCTGCTCCAATTTCGAAATTATTGAGAGGAAATGAAAAGTTTGAATGGAAAGAGGAGCAAAAACAAGCCTTTATAAAATTAAAATCAGAATTGTTAAAACCTCCGTGTCTATCTCCACCGGATTACAAATACCCTTTTATTCTATATACGGATGCTTCAAATATTGCCTGGGCCGGAGCACTAATGCAGAAAAAAGGAGAGAAAATAAGTGCTATAGCATACTGTAGCAAAACCCTTAATAGAACAGAGGCTAAATATCCTGCCACGCACGGCGAACTGGCCGCCATTGTTCATGCGTTGAACATTTTTAGGCCAATAATATACGGATCAGAGCTTCTTATAATGACCGACCATAAGCCCCTTATATTTCTTTTCCAGAAAGCCCAAGTCAATGCGAAATTGAATAGATGGCTAATGGAGATCCAAGAGATCAACCCTAAAATTTATTACATCGAAGGGAAAAATAACTCAGTAGCAGACGCGTTGTCGCGCGCAGAAATAGAAACAGCCATAAATTGGGATAAAATAAAAGAAAAATACTTTAGAGAAGAAATCCCTTATATTTTAAATGGAGATGAATTACCATTAAATAGGGAGACAATCGCTACTGAAACATTAAAAGACCCCTTATTGCGAAAAGTCTTAAAAAATATTAAAGAAAATTGGCTTGAAGTAGGAAAAGAAGAAAGTGAAGAATTTGAAATAATTTATAAATTAAGAAATGAACTTTATATTGAAGGTAATGTAATTATAAAAGGTATTTCTCAAATATTAATTCCCTCAAGTCTTCGCCAACAATTATTAAAACTATTACATAAAGCTCATTTTGGGATTGAGCGAACCAAATGTAGAGGGAGAAAATTCGTGTGGTGGCCAAACTTTGGCAAAGACGTAGAATTATATATAAGTGCGTGCCAAATCTGCCAAACAAATGCACATAAACCACCAAAATTAGACCCTAAACATAAATGGCCGCAGGCTAAATTACCAATGGAACGTTTACACGCCGACTTGGCAGGTCCTATCTGGAATACAAACTTTTTAATAGTTGTAGACGTTTATACAAAATATATTTGGGTCACACAATTAACCTCCACTAATTCACATGTTATAATAAACGCCCTAACAAATATATTCTCAATGTTTGGCAACCCCGTAAGTATTGTTACTGATAACGGGCCCCAATTCTGTTCAGTTGAAATAGAACAATTTTTATTTGAGGAGGGCATAAGTCATGTGAAAAGCCCTATCTACCATCCCTCATCAAACGGAATTGCTGAAAAAGCAGTGCAAACATTTAAAAGGGGAATGAAAAAATTATTGGAGGAAAAACATGATATGAAAAAAGCAATACAAATATTGCTAAAAGAATATCGGGCTTCGCCCTTACCCCACATTGGAGAGTCCCCCTCAGCCTTAATGTTTAAAAGGGAGATGCGCACTCAAATTGATAAGTTGCGCCTTAAACAAACAACTCTACAAAACAAACAACGCCAACATTTATCTAGGAAAATTCCAGCACCCTTCACACCAGGAGACTTAGTCTGGGTCTACATCAAAAATGCTTGGTCGCCAGGAGTGATTACGCAACTATTAGGTGATAGGATGTGTTCAGTTGAAGTCGAGGGGGAGGAAAAACAAATACACCATGACCATATAAAACAGCGCCGAAAGAGCAGCAGAGAACGACTTCCATATACACACTTTGATTAGGACTAGGCAATTATTCTTACTTACCTTTGTATATATCCCAATCTATTTAACCTTAACCCTTCTATTTAAATTTTATTTACCCAAAATTTTGAGACTGTTTTTAAATTTATTTTCAGATAATTTTTTAGCTATTTTTATTTAAAATGTCGGAGATTATGGAAGGCATAGTGACAAATGCTAACCCACCTATTGTGACAAATGCTAACCCACCTATTGTGGAGAAAAAGAAGTACTTAACGGATACCGTTAAAGAATGCCACGAGCAAACAATTAATTTAATTCAACAGCTTCTCCCAAAAATACATGACTCCATATTGACCAATGTGGAAAAAATAGTGAGAGAAAATCTTAAAGGCATTGAGGCCAAAGTTGAAGATCAAACCGTTAGTATTGTCCGCATCGCGGAAAAACTTGACGAGACCGTGACCAATAAAAATTTTGAAGAGTTATCTCTTGGGTCTACTCCTGAACCAAATGAGGAGATAGAAGTAAGTTTGGGAGAAAATAAAAACAGGGAAATACCCACAAAACTTAAGATTGAAAATGGTCCTGTTAATCCACAAATTCAAAATGGTCAAATTCAAAATGACGGTTCAAATAATCATAATGAGCGTGGTCGTCGTCGTGGTCGACGCGGAAATCGTAATGCTTACTTTAACAACCACGGTTCAAACCGTGAGCGATCACGTTATTTCTATGCTGCGCGTCAAGACCGTCGACAACAAGAACACTGTAGCTGTCACCAATGCAATCGTGGTCGCGGTAGACGTTTTCGCGCAGGGCCTCATTGATACTTTCTTTAAGAGGGAAGGAATGGAGTATTCTTGATAAACACACTCCCGACAAACACTCTTATCTTTAATTTAAATATTCTCCCAATATATATTTGTCTATGCCATTCTCGATTGGTTTCCCGACATAAACTCTTATCTTAAAGTAATTTCCCAACCAACATATATTTGTATACTCTTTAATATAGTAAATAAATCCCGACTATTGTACCTCTTTTATTCACATGCACAACCCTATTTAAAGAAAACCAAATGCACCTCAATTAACACTTTTGACTTTAACTTTACCTATACCTAACCAATACCAATTTTATAAACTTAATTGAATAAAATATATTTGGACTATTAGAATTATTTGAAATCCTCAGTAAAAGAGAACCGGTAATAGTGAACTAAATAAACATAGTTCAGCCTGCGAACCTAGAATTTTTTATTTCATAATGTATTTGGAATTAGTAAAATTTCTGAATTTCAAAATTTATAATAGGGCCTGCGAACCTAGAATTTTTTATTTCATAATGTATTTGGAATTAGGAAAATTTCTGAATTTCGCCTGCGAACCTAGAATTTTTTACATCTCTGATGTATTTGGAATTAGGAAAATTTCTGAATTTCAAAATTTATAATAGGGCCTGCGAACCTAGAATTTTTTATTTCATAATGTATTTGGAATTAGTAAAATTTCTGAATTTCAAAATTTATAATAGGGCCTGCGAACCTAGAATTTTTTATTTCATAATGTATTTGGAATTAGGAAAATTTCTGAATTTCAAAATTTATAATAGGGCCTGCGAACCTAGAATTTTTTATTTCATAATGTATTTGGAATTAGTAAAATTTCTGAATTTCAAAATTTATAATATGGCCTGCGAACCTAGAACTTTTTATTTCATAATGTATTTGGAATTAGGAAAATTTCTGAATTTCAAAATTTATAATAGGGCCTGCGAACCTAGAATTTTTTATTTCATAATGTATTTGGAATTAGGAAAATTTCTGAATTTCAAAATTTATAATATGGCCTGCGAACCTAGAATTTTTTATTTCATAATGTATTTGGAATTAGGAAAATTTCTGAATTTCAAATTTATAATAGGGCCTGCGAACCTAGAATTTTTTATTTCATAATGTATTTGGAATTAGGAAAATTTCTGAATTTCAAAATTTATAATAGGGCCTGCGAACCTAGAATTTTTTATTTCATAATGTATTTGGAATTAGGAAAATTTCTGAATTTCAAAATTTATAATAGGGCCTGCGAACCTAGAATTTTTTATTTCATAATGTATTTGGAATTAGGAAAATTTCTGAATTTCAAAATTTATAATAGGGCCTGCGAACCTAGAATTTT